ACCTCTGCTCCTACACCCAGAACAACCTCTGCTCCTACAACCAGCACAACCTCTGGTCCTGAAACTACTCACAGCCCTGTTCCTACCACCAGCACAACCTCTACCTCTACAACCAGAACAACCTCTGCCCCTACCACCAGTCCAACTCAGAGCACCTCCTCTTGGCAGAAACCCACCGTGGTCTCCAGCAAGCCCAGCCACACCGAGTCCATCACACCCTCCTGTGTACACGAGCTTTGCACCTGGACCGAGTGGATCGACGGCAGCGAAGGCACCCAGCCGCCCCCATGCACCAGCCTGCCCTTCTTCCTTGTCTCCAGCCTCTGCACCGAGCGCGGCGTGGAGTGTACCTATGAAGCTGAGGGTGAGCGGCCGGCAGCCCCTGGGGCTGGGATCTGGGGGTCTCTGCCTGCGCCCAGCCTCTGATGGGCCCGGCCCCTCTGTTCCCACAGCCTGTGTCTGCACCTACGACGGACAGCGCTTCCACCCAGGGGACGTCATCTACCACACGACGGATGGCACGGGTGGCTGCATCTCTGCCCGCTGTGGGGCCAACGGCACCATTGAGAGGAGGGTCTACCCCTGCAGCCCCACCACCCCCGTCCCCCCAACCACCTTCTCCTTCTCCACGCCCCCACTCGGTAAGGCAAATGCGGCCGAGGAGCCCCAGGGTGAGCCCCTCCCACTGCCTGGCACAGCTGCCCTTGCTGGACGCTGAGGTCACAGCAGCTCTGGGCATGGGCAGCAGCCCCTGAGGATCAGGAAGGGACCGAGGAGCAGGGTGTTGGGCTTAGGGATGACCTGCTGTTTTCCCACCAGCCATCTGCAGTGGGGAGGGCCCAGCCTCCAAGTCACCCTGGCAGGCCTGGCGTCCAAGTCCTGCCCTCAGCAGGCCCTGGGCCTGGCCTCATGGGAGTGTCGGGGGTCTGGCAGCCCAGCCTGGCCCTGGGGATGCACGGCTATCACTTGCCTCACACTGCTCAGGGTTCAGGTACCCCCATGTCCTCGCCCTCTCCTGGGGGATGTCTCAGGGCCCCAAGGCATCATCTGAGCTTCTCTGAGAGTAGAAAGCTCTGGAACTCTGGCGTTCTGGGGCATAGATGTGTGGACGCTGCTCAGGGCATGGCCTGGGAGCCACTTCCCTAAAACTCAGTCAGTTGGCCTGGCTCTTCAGCAGCTGTGCCACTCATGTGGGTTCTGAGCAGGGACCGTGGGTGGGGACTGCTGGTGCAGCCTCGGATCGCTGACAGGGCCGCAGGGAGGGGTGGGGGCAGCCCCCAGTGCCAGACCCTCATGCTCAGCTGCCTTATCTCCTGCCCACAGTCGTGAGCTCCACGCACGCCTCCAGCCCTGTCCCGAGCAGCATGCACACAGGCCCTCCAAGCAGCGCCTGGCCCACCACAGCAGGCATTTCTCCCAGGACGAAGCCGCCCACAGCCTCTGCCTCGCTGCCGCCGGTCTGTGGGGAAGAGTGCCTGTGGTCACCTTGGATGGACGTTAGCCGCCCTGGACGGGGCATGGACAGCGGTGACTTTGACACACTGAAGAACCTCCGCGCCCATGGGTACCTGGTGTGCGAATCACCCAGGTCGGTGGAGTGCCGAGCCGAGGATGCCCCCCGAGTGCCGCTCCGAGCCCTGGGGCAGCGTGTGCAGTGCAGCCCGGACATGGGGCTGACCTGTCGTAACAGGGAGCAGGCATCGGGGCTCTGCTACAACTACCAGATCAGGGTCCTGTGTTGCACGCCCCTAGCCTGCTCCACCTCTAGCAGTTCAACCCAGACCACTCCTCCAACAACCTCCAAGACCACTGAAACCCGGGCCTCAGCCTCCTCAGTCCCCAGCAGCACACCTGGCCCCGTGTCTCTCTCTACATCCAGGGCAACACCTGCCCCAGGTACCGCTACATCTGTCAAAAGAACTTTCTCAACTCCCAGCCCTCCGCCAGTGCCAGCAACATCAACATCATCCGTGTCGACCACGGCCCCGGGGACCTCCGTGGTCTCCAGCAAGCCCAGCCACACCGAGTCCATCACACCCTCCTGTGTACACGAGCTTTGCACCTGGACCGAGTGGATCGACGGCAGCTACCCTGATCCCGGAATAAATGGCGGAGATTTTGACACATTTCAAAATTTGAGAGATGAAGGGTACAAATTCTGTGAAAATCCTCAAAGCGTGGAGTGCCGGGCAGTGGGCTTCCCCAACACGCCACTGGCAGACCTGGGGCAGGACGTCATCTGTAGCCGCACGGAGGGGCTGATTTGCCTGAACAAGAATCAGCTCCCACCCATCTGCTACAACTACGAGATCCGCATCCAGTGTTGCAAGACGGTGAACAAGTGCAGAGACGGCACCAGAACGTTGAAGACCATCACAACTACACGGCCGACTCCACACCCAGCTGGAGCTCAGACCCAGACCACCTTCACCACACACGTGCCCTCGGCCTCCACGGAGCAACCCACAGCCACCTCCAGGGGTGGGTCCACAGCAACCAGCGTCACACAGGACACCCACAACAGATCGGTCACCAGAGATTGTCATCCCCAGTGCACCTGGACAAAGTGGTTCGACGTGGACTTCCCATCCCCTGGACCGCACGGCGGAGATGAGGAAACCTACAACAACATCATGAGAAGTGGGGAAAAAATCTGCCGCCAACCTGAGGAGATCACCAGGCTCCAGTGCCGAGCCGCGAGCCACCCGGAAGTGAGCATCGAACACCTGGGCCAGGTGGTACAGTGCAGCCGCGAAGAGGGCCTGGTGTGCCGGAACCAGGACCAGCAGGGACCCTTCAAGATGTGCCTCAACTACGAGGTGCGCGTGCTCTGCTGTGAGACCCCCAAAGGCTGCCCTGTGATGTCCACACCTGTCACAGCTCCTAGCACCCCAAGTGGGAGAGCCACCAGTCCAACTCAGAGCACCTCCTCTTGGCAGAAACCCAGGACAACCACTTTGGTGACAATTAGCACAACCTCCACTCCACAGACCAGTACAATCTCTACCCCTACAACCAACATGACCTCTGCTCCTACACCCAGAACAACCTCTGCTCCGACAACCAGCACAACCTCAGCTCCTACAACTAGCACATCCTCGGCTCCTACAACCAGCACAACCTCTGCCCCTACAACCAACACGACCTCTGCTCCTACACCCAGAACAACCTCTGCTCCGACAAAAAGCACAACCTGCACTCGAAAGACCAGCACAACCTCTGCCCCTACAACCAGCAAGACCTCTGCCTCTACAACCAGCACGACCTCTGCTCCTATACCCAGAGCAATCTCTGCTCCTACAAAAAGCACAACCTACACTCGAAAGACCAGCACAACCTCTACCCCTAAAACCAGCACGACCTCTGCTCCTACACCCAGAACATCTGCTCCTACAAAAAGCACAACCTGCACTCGAAAGACCAGCACAACCTCTGCTCCTATAACCAGCACGACTTCTGTTCCCACAACCAGCACGACCTCTGCTCCTCCACCCACAACAACCTCTGCTCCTACAAAAAGCACAACCTGCACTCGAAAAACCAGCACAACCTCTACCCCTAAAACCAGCACGACCTCTGCTCCTACAACCAGCATGACCTCTGCTCCTACACCCAGAACATCTGCTCCTACAAAAAGCACCAAGTGCATTCGAAAGACCAGAACAACCTCTGCCCCTATAACCAGCACGACTTCTGCTCCTACAACCAGCACGACCTCTGCTCCTCCACCCACAATAACCTCTGGTCCTACAAAAAGCACAACCTTCACTCAACAGACTACAACAACCTCTGCTCCTACAACTAGCACAACCTCTGCCCCTACAACCAGCACAATCTCAACTCCTACAACCAGCACAACTTCTGCCTCTACAACCAGCACAACCATTGGTCCTGGAAATACTCCCACCCCTGTTCTTACCACCAGCACAATCTCTGCTCCTACAACCAGCACCAGCTCTGTTCCTACAGGCAGCACAACCTCTGGTCCTGCAACTATTCCCAGCCCTGTTCCCACCACCAGCACAACTACTGCTCCTACAACCAGAACAACCTCTGCCCTTACAAGCAGCACAACCTCTGGTCCTGAAACTGCTCCCAGCCCTGTTCCTACTACCAGCACAACCTCTGCTTCTACAACCAGCACAACCTCTGGTCCTGGAACTACTCCCAGCCCAGTTCCTACCACCAGCACCATCAGCTCTGCTGCTACAACCAGCACCACCAGCTCTGCTCCTACAACCAGCACCACCAGCTCTGCTCCTACAACCAGCACCAGTTCTGCTCCTACAACCAGCACAACCTCTAGTCCTGGAACTATTCCCAGCCCTGTTCCCACCACCAGCGCAACTACTGCTCCTACAACCAGAACAACCTCTGCTTCTACAACTAGCACAACCTCTGGTGCTGGAAATACTCCCAGCCCAGTTCCAATCACCAGCACAACCTCTGCTTCTACAACCAGCACCAGCTCTGCTCCTACAACAAGCACCAGTTCTGCTCCTACAACCAGCACAACCTCTAGTCCTGGAACTACTCTTAGCCCTGTTCCCACCATCAGCACAACCTCTGCTCATACAACCAGAACAACCTCTGCCCCTATAAGCAGCACAACCTCTGCTGCTACAACCAGCATAGCTTCTGGTCCTGAGACTACTCCCAGCCCTGTTCCTACCACCAGCACAACCTCTGCTCCTACAACCAGAACAACCTCTGCCCCTACAAGCAGCACAACCTCTGCTACTATAACCAGCACAACCTCTGGTCCTGAAAATACTCCCAGCCCTATTCCTACAACCAGCACAACCTCTGCTTCTACAACCAGCACAACCTCTGGTCCTGAAACTACTCACAGCCCTATTCCTACCACCAGCACAACCTCTACTTCTACAACCAGCACAACCTCTAGTCCTGGAACTACTCCCAGCCCTGTTCCCACCACCAGCACCACCAGCTCTGCTCCTACAACCAGCACCAGTTCTGCTCCTACAAGCAGCACAACCTCTAGTCCTAGAACTACTCCAAGCCCTGTTCCCACCACCAGCACAAACTCTGCTTCTACAACCAGAACAACCTCTGCTGCCACAACCAGCACAACCTCTGGTCCTGAGACTACTCCCAGCCCTGTTCCTACCACCAGCACAACCTCTGCTCCTACAACCAGTACAGCCACTAGTCCTGGAAGTACTCCCAGCCCTGTTCCCACCGCCAGTACAACCTCTGCTCCTACAACCAGCAAAACCTCTGCTTCTACAACCAGCACAACCTCTGGTCCTGGAACTACTCCCAGCCCAGTTCCTACCACCAGCACAACCTCTGCTCCTACAACCAGCACAACCTCTGCTCCTACAACCAGCAAAACCTCTGCTTCTACAACCAGCACAACCTCTGGTCCTGGAACTACTCCCAGCCCAGTTCCTACCACCAGCACAACCTCTGCTCCTCCAACCAGCACCAGTTCTGCTCCTACAACTAGCACAACCTCTATTCCTGGAACTACTCCCAGCCCTGTTCCCACCATCAGCACAACCTCTGCTCCTACAACCAGCACAACCTCTGCCCATACAAGCAGCACAACCTCTGCCACTATAACCAGCACAACCTCTGGTCCTGAGACTACTCCCAGCCCTGTTCCTACCACCAGCACAACCTCTGCTTCTACTACCAGCACAACCTCTGGTCCTGGAACTACTCCCAACCCAGTTCCTACAACCAGCACAACCTCTGCTCCTACAAGCAACAAAACCTCTGCTGCTACAACCAGCACAACCTCTGGTCCTGAAACTACTCCCAGCCCTGTTCCTACTACCAGTACAACCTCTGCTCCTACAAGCAACAAAACCTCTGCTGCTACAACCAGCACAACCTCTGGTCCTGAAACTACTCCCAGCCCTGTTCCTACTACCAGTACAACCTCTGCTTCTACAACCAGCACAACCTCTGGTCCTGGAACTACTCCCAACCCAGTTCCTACAACCAGCACAACCTCTGCTCCTACAACCAGCAAAACCTCTGCTTCTACAACCAGCACAACCTCTGGTGCTGGAACTCCTCCCAGCCCTGTTCCTACCACTAGCACAACCTCTGCTCCTACAACCAGCACCACCTCTGCTCCTACAACCAGCACAACCTCCAGTCCTGGAACTACTCCCAGCCCTGTTCCCACCACCAGCACAACTTCTGCTCCTACCACCAGCACAACCTCTGCTCCTCCAACCAGCACCAGTTCTGCTCCTACAACCAGCACAACCTCTATTCCTGGAACTACTCCCAGCCCTGTTCCCACCATCAGCACAACCTCTGCTCCTACAACCAGAACAACCTCTGCCCCAACAAGCAGCACAACCTCTGCTCCTACAACCAGCACCACCTCTGCTCCTACAACCAGCACAACCTCCAGTCCTGGAACTACTCCCAGCACTGTTCCCACCACCAGCACAACTTCTGCTCCTACAACCAGCACAACCTCTGCCCCTACAAGCAGCACAACCTCTGCCACTATAACCAGCACAACCTCTGGTCCTGAAAATACTCCCAGCCCTATTCCTACCACCAGCACAACCTCTACTTCTACAACCAGCACAACCTCTAGTCCTGGAACTACTCCCAGCCCTGTTCCCACCACCAGCACCACCAGCTCTGTTCCTACAATCAGCACCACCAGCTCTGCTCCTACAACCAGCACCAGTTCTGCTCCTACAACCAGCACAACCTCTAGTCCTGGAACTACTCCAAGCCCTGTTCTCACCACCAGCATAACCTCTGCCCCTACAACCAGAACAACCTCTACCCCTACAAGCAGCACAACCTCTGCCGCTATAACCAGCACAACCTCTGGTCCTGAAACTACTCCCAGCCCTGTTCCTACCACCAGCACAACCTCTGCTTCTACAACCAGTACAACCTCTGCCCCTACAAGCAGCATAATCTCTGCTCCTACAACCAGGACAACCTCTAGTCCTGGAACTACTCCCAGCCCTGTTCCCACCACCAGCACAACCTCTGCTCCTACAACCAGCAAAACCTCTGCTTTCACAACCAGCACAACCTCTGGTCCTGGAACTACTCCCGGCCCAGTTCCTACCACCAGCAAAACCTCTGCTCCTACAACCAGCACCAGCTCTGCTCCTACAACCAGCACCAGTTCTACTCCTACAACCAGCACAACCTCTATTCCTGGAACTACTGCCAGCCCTGTTCCCACCATCAGCACAACCTCTGCTCCTACAACCAGAGCAACCTCTGCCCCTACAAGCAGCACAACCTCTGCCGCTATAACCAGCACAACCTCTGCTTCTACAACCAGCACAACCTCTAGTCCTGGAACTACTCCCAGGCCTGTTCCCACCACCAGCACAACCTCTGCTCCTACTACCAGCACAACCTCTGCTTCTACAACCAGCACAACCTCTGGTCCTGGAACTACTCCCAGCCCTGTTCTTACCACCAGTACAACCTTTGCTCCTACAACCAGCACCACCAGCTCTGCTCCTACAACCAGTACCAGTTCTGCTCCTACAACCAGCACAACCTCTAGTCCTGGAACTACTCCCAGTCCTGTTCCCACCACCAGCATAACCTCTGCCCCTACAACCAGAACAACCTCTACCCCTACAAGCAGCACAACCTCTGCTGCTATAACCAGCACAACCTCTGGTCCTGAAACTACTCCCAGCCCTGTTCCTACCACCAGTACAACCTCTGCTTCTACAACCAGCACAACCTCTGGTCCTGGAACTACTCCCAGCCCTGTTCCTATCACCAGCACCATCAGCTCTGCTCCTACAACCAGCACCACCAGCTCTGCTCCTACAACCAGCACCAGTTCTGCTCCTACAACCAGCACAACCTCTAGTCCTGGAACTATTCTCAGCCCTGTTCCCACCACCAGCGCAACTACTGCTCCTACAACCAGAACAACCTCTGCTTCTACAACTAGCACAACCTCTGGTGCTGGAACTACTCCCAGCCCTGTTCCTACCACCAGCGCAACCTCTGCCCCTGCAAGCAGCACAACCCCTGGTCCTGGAACTACTCCCAGCCCTCTTCCCACCACCAGCACAACTTCTGCTCCTACAACCAGAACAACTTCTGCCCCTACAAGCAGCACAACCTCTGCCGCTATAACCAGCACAACCTCAGGTCCTGAAACTACTCCTAGCCCTGTTCCTACCTCCAGCACAACCTCTGTTCCTACAACCAGCACCACCAGCTCTGCTCCTACAACCAGCACTAGTTCTGCTCCTACAACCAGCACAACCTCTAGTCCTGGAACTACTCCCAGCCTTGTTCCCACCACCAGCACAACTTCTGCTCCTACAACCAGAACAACTTCTGCCCCTACAAGTAGCACAACATCTGCTGCTACAACTAGCACAACCTCTGGTCCTGAAACTACTCCCAGCCCTGTTCTTACCACCAGCACAACCTCTGCTTCTACAACTAGCACAACCTCTGGTCCTGGAAATACTTCCAGCCCAGTTCCTACCACCAGAACAACCTCTGCTCCTAGAACCAGCACCAGCTCTCCTCCTACAACTAGCACCAGTTCTGCTCCTACAACCAGCAGAACCTCTATTCCTAGAAGTACTCCCAGCCCTGTTCCCACCACCAGCACAACCTCTGCTCCTACAACCAGAGCAACCTCTGCCCATACAAGCAGCACAACATCTACCGCTATGACCAGCACAACCTCTGGTCCTGAAACTACTCCCAGCCCTGTTCCTACCTTCAGCAAAACCTCAGCTTCTACAACCAGCACAACCTCTGGTCCTGGAACTACTCCCAGCCCAGTTCCTACCACCAGCACAACCTCTGCTCCTACAACCAGCACCAGCTCTGTTCCTACGACCAGCACAAACTCCAGTCCTGGAACTATTCCCAGCCCTGTTCCCACCACCAGCACAATCTCTGCTCCTACAACCAGCACCAGCTCTGCTCCTACCACCAGCACAACCTCCAGTCCTGGAACTATTCCCAATCCTGTTCCCACCACCAGCACAACCTCTGCTCCTACCACCAGCACAACCTCTGCTCCTCCAACCAGCACAACCTCTGCTACTACAACCAGCACAATCTTTGTCCCTAGAGTCAGAACAATCTCACCTCGTACAACCAGCACAACTTCTGGTCCTGGAACTACCCAAAGCCCTGTTCCCACCACCAGCACAATCTCTGCCTCTACAACCAGAACAACCTCTGCCCCTACAAGCAGCACAACCTCAGCCACTGCAACCAGCGCAACCTCTGCTCCTGAAACTACTCCGAGCCCTGTTCCCACCACCAGCACAACCTCTGCTCCTACAACCAGCAAAACCTCTGCTTCTACAACCAGCAGAACCTTTGGTCCTGGAACTACTCCCAGCCCTGTGCCTACCACCAGCACAACCTCTGCTTCTACTACTAGCACATCCTCTGGTCCTGAAACTACTCCCAGCCCTCTTCCTACCACCAGCACAACTTCTGCTTCTACCAGCAGCACAACCTCTGGTCCTGGAACGACTCCCAGCCCTGTTCCCACCACCAGCACAAACTCTGCTCCTACAACCAGCACAACCTCTGCCACTACAACCAGCACAACCTCTGGTCTCGGAACGACTCCCAGCCCTGTTCCCATCACCAGCACGACCTCTGCTCCTACAAGCAGCACAACCTCTCCTATTACAACCAGCCCAACCCCTGCCCCTACAAGCAGCTCAACCTCCACTCCACAGACCAGCATAACCTCTGTTCCTACAACGAGCACAACTTCTGGTCCTGGAAGTACCCAAAGCTCTGTTTTCACCATTAGCACAACCTCTGCCCCTACAACCAGAACAACCTCTGCCCCTACAAGCAAAAACCTCTGCTGCTACAACCAGCACAACCTCTGGTCCTGAAACTACTCCAACCTCTGCTTCTACAACCAGCACAACCTCTGGTCCTGGAACTACTCCCAACCCAGTTCCTACAACCAGCACAACCTCTGCTCCTACAACCAGCACCAGCTCTGTTCCTACAACCAGCACAACCTCCAGTCCTGGAACTATTCCCAATCCTGTTCCCACCACCAGCACAACCTCTGCTCCTACCACCAGCACAACCTCTGCTCCTACGACCAGCACCAGCTCTGTACCTACGACCAGCACAACCTCCAGTCCTGGAACTATTCCCAATCCTGTTCCCACCACCAGCACAACCTCTGCTCCTACCACCAGCACAACCTCTGCTTCTACAACCAGCACAACCTCTGGTCCTGGAACTACCCCAAGCCCTGTTCCTACCACCAACAAAACCTCTGCTCCTCCAACCAGCACAACCTCTGCTCCTCCAACCAGCACAACCTCTGCTACTACAACCAGCACAATCTCTGCCCCTGGAGTCAGAACAATCTCACCTCGTACAACCAGCACAACTTCTGGTCCTGGAACTACCCAAAGCCCTGTTCCCACCACCAGCACAATCTCTGCCTCTACAACCAGAACAACCTCTGCCCCTACAAGCAGCACAACCTCAGCCACTGCAACCAGCGCAACCTCTGCTCCTGAAACTACTCCCAGCCCTGTTCCTACCACCAGAACAACCTCTACCCCTACAACCAGCAAAACCTCTGCTTCTACAACCAGCAGAACCTTTGGTCCTGGAACTACTCCCAGCCCTGTGCCTACCACCAGCACAATCTCTGCTTCTACTACCAGCACAACCTCTGGTCCTGAAACTACTCCCAGCCCTCTTCCTATCACCAGCACAACTTCTGCTTCTACCAGCAGCACAACCTCTGGTCCTGGAACGACTCCCAGCCCTGTTCCCACCACCAGCACGACCTCTGCTCCTACAACCAGCACAACCTCTGCTATTACAACTAGCCCAACCTCTGCCCCTACACACCAGCACAACTTCTGCTTCTACCAGCAGCACAACCTCTGGTCCTGGAACGACTCCCAGCCCTGTTCCCACCACCAGCACGACCTCTGCTCCTACAAGCGGCACAACCTCTGCTATTACAACTAGCCCAACCTCTGCCCCTACAAGCAGCACAACCTCCACTCCACAGACCAGCATAACCTCTGTTCCTACAACCAGCACAACTTCTGGTCCAGGAAGTACCCAAAGCTCTGTTTTCACCATTAGCACAACCTCTGCCCCTACAACCAGAACAACCTCTGCCCCTACAAGCAGCAAAACCTCTGCTGCCCTCTGCTGCTACAACCAGCACAACCTCTGGTCCTGAAACTACTCCCAGCCCTGTTCCTACTACCAGTACAACCTCTGCTTCTACAACCAGCACAGCCTCTGGTCCTGGAACTACTCCCAGCCCTGTTCCTACCACCAGCACTATCTCTGCTCCTACAACCAGCACAACCTCAGCTCCTACAATGAGCACATCCTCAGCGCCTACAACTAGCACAACTTCTTCCCCTACAACCAGCACAACCTCCACTCCACAGACCAGCACATCCTCTGCCACTGCAAGCAGCACAACCTCTGCCCCTACAAGCAGCACAACCTCTGCCCCCACAACCAGCACAACCTCTGCTCCTACAACCAGCACAACCTTTACCCCTACAACCAGCACAGCCTCTCCTTCTACACACAGGACAACCTCTGTTCCTACAACCACCACTACCTCGGCTCCTACAACCACCACATCCTCAGCTCCTATAACCAGCACTACTTCTGCCCCTACAAGCAGCACAACCTTGGCTCCTACAACCAGCACAACCTCTGCTCCTACAACCAGCACAACCTCTGCCCCTACAAGCAGCACTACTTCTGCCCCTACAAGCAGCACAACCTCAACCTCGGCTCCTACAGAGCAGCACAACCTCTGCTCCTACAACCAGCACAACCTCGGCTCCTACAACCAGCACAACCTCTGCTCCTACAACCAGCACAACCTCTGCTCCTACAACCAGCACAACCTCTGCCCCTACAAGCAGCACAACCTCCACTGCACAGAGCAGCACAACCTCCGCTCCTATAATCAGCACAACCTCTGCTCCTACAACCAGCACAACCTCTGCTCCTACAACCAGCACACCCTCCAGTCCTGGAACTACTCCCAGCCCTGTTCCCACCACCAGCACAACCTCTGTTTCAAAGACCAGCACAAGCCATGTTTCTGTATCCAAGACAACCCACCCTCAACCAGTTACCAGTGACTGTCATCCCCAGTGCACCTGGACAAAGTGGTTCGACGTGGACTTCCCATCCCCTGGACCGCACGGCGGAGATGAGGAAACCTACAACAACATCATCAGGAGTGGGGAAAAAATCTGCCGCCAACCTGAGGAGATCACCAGGCTCCAGTGCCGAGCCGCGAGCCACCCAGAGGTGAGCATCGAACACCTGGGCCAGGTGGTGCAGTGCAGCCGCGAAGAGGGCCTGGTGTGCCGGAACCAGGACCAGCAGGGACCCTTCAAGATGTGCCTCAACTACGAGGTGCGCGTCCTCTGCTGCGAGATCCCCAAAGGCTGCCCGGTGACTGCTGTGACCCCATATGGGACTTCTACCAATACCCTGTATCCTTCCCTGTCTACCTCCGTGGCATCCACCTCTGTGGCATCCGGCTCCGTGGCATCCAGCTCTGTGGCCTCCAGCTCTGTGGCTTACTCCACCCCAACCTGCTTCTGCAACGTAACTGACCGGCTCTACCCCATGGGTTCGTGAGTGTTTCTGGTGCAATTGTTTCTGAGCTCACCCTGGTCAGTTTTTCATCCAGGAATGCCAAGCTGTGATGGAGATGAGAGGAGTCTCTGCTCTTTGTGGCACAGGCTCATTGTCACAGAGTGGCTGCTGGCATTCTCTGAAGTTTGTTCCCACTACACGGGTGGTAGATAGTGCCCCTCTGGCCCACAGAGGGGTTTGTGCCTCTTCTTTGAGCAGGGCTCCACTAAAGGCTATCATGTCCCTTCCTCCTGTAGGATCCACCATATACCGCCACAGAGACCTCGCCGGCCACTGCTATTATGCCCTGTGCAGCCAGGACTGCCAAGTGGTCAGAGGAGTTGGCAGTGACTGTCCATCCACCACGCTGCCTCCTGCCCCAGCCACGTCCCCTTGGACATCCACCTCTGAGCCCGTCACTGAGCTGGGATGCCCAAATGCAGTTCCCCCCAGAAAGGTAACCCCCTGCTTCTCACCCTTCTGAAGGCTCAGGGACCACTGCAGGGAACTTGAATGTCTTTGCAATTAGGCTTCAGCTGCAAGGTCTTGAGAAGGTCACTGGCCCTAGTGGAGGCAGCCTGGCCATCAGGAGAGGGCTGTGCTATAGCCCAGGGTCTCTGATCCTCCTGGACTTCCCAGACACGTGATTTCTAGGCACTGGGTGTGTGGGCCCAAGGCTGAGGCTGTGCTGAGGCCAGCCAGGGCCAGAGCAGCGGGATGAGGCTGTGGCCGCGGCTGCACAGCCAGGAAGTGTGGCAGAGCCAGGGAGGAGCAACTCTCACACCAGAGACCCCTGCCCCGGGCCAGCTCGGTGTCTGGGGTGGGTGCTGAGGATGGGGCGGGAAGGAGACTGGGGCACAGCCACCCTCCCCTGTCCCCACATGGGACTCTCGGGACTGTGACCTCAAGAACCAAGGGGTGCCCTGGAGACCGGGAGAGGCCGGACCCTGCAGCTCTCTGTGCTTCTGCAGAAAGGTGAGACCTGGGCCACGCCCAACTGCTCCGAGGCCACCTGTGAGGGCAACAACATCATCTCCCTGCGCCCGCGAACGTGCCCGAGGGTGGAGAAACCCACCTGTGCCAATGGCTACCCGGCCCTGAAGGTGGCCGACCAGGACGGCTGCTGCTATCACTACCAGTGCCAGTGTGAGTGGAGCACCGGGCGGGAGCCGGGGCAGCCGGGGCAGCCACTCCCCACCCAGGTGGAAAGGGGTGGGGCAGAGGAGGGGGCTTGGCTGAAGCAGAAAGGAATCAGGTGGGACAGCAGGAAGGATTTCCCATCATCGAGGCGGGGATGCACGGGGCCGAGCCTCCCCACTTAGGGGTGCGGAGTGAATCCCTGTTAGCCTCGGAGCAGCCTGGCTGGAGAAGGTGGAGGGGTCTGTCCCTGCCTTGCTCCAGCCTTGTCAAGCGTCCGCTGGACGGAGCTCTGTGCAGGCGCTGGCCACGTGTGTTCTGATGATGTGGAGGGTCTCGTGCGCCCTGTGAGGGGAGACGGTGGGGGGTCAGGGACAGATGTGACCTGTTGGGAGAAAACCCCGGGGCCATGGTGCCACCATCCCATAAGGCTGCCCCCGGGGCCTGGCAGGTGTGTGCAGCGGCTGGGGTGATCCCCACTACATCACCTTTGACGGCACCTACTACACCTTCCTGGACAACTGCACGTACGTGCTGGTGCAGCAGATCGTGCCCGTGTACGGCCACTTCCGCGTGCTGGTGGACAACGACTTCTGTGGCGCGGAGGATGGGCTTTCCTGCCCAAAGTCCATCATCCTGGAGTACCAGCAGGACCGCGTGGTGCTGACCCGCAAGTCAGTCCACGGGGCGATGACCAATGAGGTGGGGGTGCGCCCGGTGTGCTGGGTAGAGGGTGGGGGACGTGGCTTTCCTGGCTAGAGCCTGAGCAGTGGCTGACCACCCGCCCGCCCGCCCGCCTTCTATCTTCCCGTCGACTGCGCCCCGCATCCAGATCATCTTCAACAACAAGGTAGTCAGCCCCGGCTTCCGGAAAAACGGCATCGTGGTCTCGCGTGTCGGCATCAAGATGTACGCGACCATCCCGGCACTGGGTGTCCAGGTCATGTTCTCCGGCCTCATCTTCTCGGTGGAGGTGCCCTTCAGCAAGTTTGCCAACAACACCGAGGGCCAGTGCGGTGAGGCCACAGGGCTCCCAGGCATCGTCTGGCATTCATGGGGGCAGGGGGTACTGGGCAGGGGGCGAGGCCGCCACGTGCTGCGCATGCTGGTGTCTCTGCTTCCTGGCTGCTCTGCCGAGCGCAGGCCACACACATGAGGCCTACACCTGCCCGTACCTGCAGCTCCCCGGTGCCATGGGGACTGTCCCAGGGTTGTTCCTGGGCGACAGCGAGGCACAGGCAGGGTCCACTGCGGTCCACCAAGGTGTGACCCTGAGATGCCAGGGTCCTGTCCCCCAGCTGGGGGTGCTGAGCCCCATGTGGACTGGGGCCGCCTGGCTCTGCTGTCCAGCAGCCTGACCCCCACCGCATCTGTCCAGGCACTTGCACCAACGACCTGAAGGATGAGTGCCGCACGCCTGGGGGCACGGTGGTCGCTTCCTGCTCTGAGATGTCTGGCCTCTGGAATGTCAGCATCCCCAACCAGCCAGCCTGCCACGGGCCTCGCCCGCTGCCCACCACGGTCGGGCCCACGACAGTTGGGTCCACCACGTTTGGGCCTACCACCCCGCCTGCTCCGTGCCCGCCATCGTCCATCTGCCGGCTGATTCTGAGCAAGTGAGACTTGGGTGCAAGGGAGGGAGGGTCAGCGTGGCCGCCCCACCCCCACCCTTCCAAGGGCTCGCGGGGAAGACGTACGTTTTCAGGGGGCTCCTGAGAGGAAACAAGAGCTGCTGGTGCCACAGGCCAAGGAGGGGCAGGTGCTGGGGAGGAGTGGGTGCTGGGGAGGAGTGGGTGTTGGGGAGGAGTGGGTGCTGGGGAGGAGTGGGTGTTGGGGAGGAGTGGGTGCTGGGGAGGAGTGGGTGCTGGGGAGGAGTGGGTGCTGGGGAGGGGGGGCAGGTACTGGGAGGGGTGGGTGCCAGGGAGGGGTGGTCATGGCTGGAATGCTGCCAAGGGCTGGCCGGGCCAAACGGTCTCTGAGGCTCCCTGCTGGCTTAGGCATATGGACGGGGGCATCGGTCACCACCCCCAGGCAGCTCCCAGGTTTGCAGGGCGGCAGTGGGGGTCCCAGGAAGAACTTGCAGAAATAAGTGTATGATGCCATCTGGACCCCCAACCCCGGCCCCCAAGCCCACAGAATATGTGGAAGGAAGCTTTCCGGGCACAGACAGGAGGGCGGCCGCACACCAGCGGCTGCTCAGGGACTCACCTCGCCTGGGGACTGCCCTGAAGCCTGGGAGCCTGACATGGAGCAGCAGGTGGCCGGAGAGGCTGCACCCAGCACCCCGCGCATCCCTCCTACAGGGTCTTTGAGCCGTGCCACGCCGTGATCCCCCCACTGCCATTCTATGAGGGCTGCACTTTCGACCAGTGCCACAAGACTGACCTGGACACGGTGTGCTCCAGCCTGGAGCTGTACGCGGCGCTCTGCGCGTCCCAAGACATCTGCATCGACTGGAGAGGCCGGACCAACCACATGTGCCGTGAGTGCCCCCACTGTCCTCAGGGTCCCAAGTCGCTTGTGAGGGGCACAGGTACGCCAGGCAGACCCTCAGGGTGGGCTCGGGCAGTCAGGGTGGGACCTGGAGGAGGAGGGGTCAGCCCCAGGACAGAGTGCTCCCGGTTCCCTGGAGAGAAAGGAGGGCATCCACATCAGGGAGCCCATGGCGGGGCCCCGGGGTGTGGCAGGCCGTGGCCAGGCCCAGGCCCACGGGTGGCTGCGGGCAGCTCTGGAGAAGATGTTGGTGCCCAGCGGCCCGCGTTGGTCGGGGTGGGTGCCCTCCCTCCCTCTCAGGTATGGCTTCCCCTCCCCACAGCATTCACCTGCCCAGCCGACAAGGTGTACCAGCCCTGCGGCCCGAGCAACCCCTCCTACTGCTATGGGAACGACAGCGCCAGCCTCGGGTAGGTGCCCTCCCTCCTGGCCCTGCCGTGGGCCGCTGCAGCCACCCGGACCCCAGCCTCCTGCTGCGTCTCCCACTCCCAGGCTGGGGCCCTTCCCACCTGGAGGGAAAAAAGACATCCACCAACCCCATGCTCTCCACAGGGCCCTGCCGGAGGCCGGCCCCATCACCGAAGGCTGCTTCTGTCCGGAGGGCATGACCTTCTTCAGCACCAGTGCCCAAGTCTGCGTGCCCACGGGCTGCCCCAGTACGTGCCCCAGGCTGGGGCTGGTGGGGTGGCAGGACTGGGCCTGTGACTGTCGGCCAGGTCCTGGGGTCCGCCTTGCCCCAACACGGGACCCTGCCCCTCGCCCCTGTCATGGCAGCTGACCCCCCGTGACCTCAGATCTCTCTCCTTCCAGGGTGTCTGGGGCCCCACGGAGAGCCGGTGAAGGTGAGTGGGAGGTGGAGGCTCTGGAAACACTAGCCCCAGAAATGGTCAGAGGGGGCTCAGGGGACGGGGTGTCCTCTCTGTGCCAGAGGCCCAGGGAAAGGGCCGTGGGAGGACCAGGCTCCCCGAAAGACTCGGGGATCTCCCTTCCCAGGTACCCACTCTGTCCGCACTGGGGACCGTGCCGGGGCCTCTGTCCTGGTGTTGCTGTGTGGGTGCCAGCCCCGAGGCTGGCCATACTCTTCCCTTCCTTGGGACCCCCTTCTGCCCGGCCGAGACTGAGGCAGTGTGAGGTGGGGGGCGCAGGCCAGTCACCCCACAGCCTGCCCACCTTGCAGAGCTTCCTGCCCATGCTTGGCCCACCCTGCACTTTAGAAGCTCTACTCCTGCGGGGTCCTCAGCTGCAGGCCGCACGGCCTCCACACTGCATGAGCCGGCCCGGCTGCTGCGCCCCTGGGTGGAGCCGCTGTGGATGCTGGACCTCAGGCCTCTCCCTCGCAGGTGGGCCACACCGTCGGCAGGGACTGCCAGGAGTGCACGTGTGAGGCGGCCACGTGGACCCTGACCTGCCGACCCAAGCTCTGCCCGCTGCCCCCTGCCTGCCCCCTGCCCGGCTTCGTGCCTGTGCCTGCAGCCCCACAGGCCGGCCAGTGCTGCCCCCAGTACAACTGCGGTAAGCCCTTGGCTGGGTGGGGGGCACGGCGTGGCAGGCAGGTGACCCGGAGCCCACTCGGCCCGGCCTTTGCTGCTGCCTTGGGGCACGCACCTGGGGGCAGTGCCTATGAGGGTGCCCCCTTCTCCACTCCAGCAACAGTCTCATCTGGAGACCCCCCAGCGGGCTGTCTGGGCAGTCCGCAATCCTGGAGACCCTGGGGGTGGGCCTTTCGGCGGGGGCAGGGGACAGACTCCCAATTGCCTCCCTCCACCCCCGCAGCCTGCAACACCAGCCATTGCCCTGCACCCGTGGACTGTCCCGAGGGTGCCCGTGCGATCCCGACCTACAAGGAGGGGGACTGCTGCCCGGTCCAAAAGTGCAGTGAGTATCCTGGACCAGACCTTGTCGTGGGCCGTGGGCTGGGGTCTCCACCTGGGATTTTGGGGGGCCATAACCAGATAACCAGATGCCGCTGCGGCTTGTCCACTGCCAGTCTGTGGCTCCGGACTGAGCCTTCTGCAGGGACAAGGCTAGACAAACCCCAGTGGCGAGCCTGGGAATGAGGCGCCCAGGAGGCTGCAGGGGCGGGCATGCCGAGGGTGAGGGGAGGACGGGTGGCAGGGGGTGCAGCTGCTTGTCTTCTCCTGGGCAGACTGGACAGAGTGCAGCATCAACGGGACCTTGTACCAGGTAAGAGCCGCAGAGCCCAGACCCCCGCAGCTACAGGGACGGAGCTTCCTGCTGACCCTAGGGCCCAGGTAGACTTCGGAGCACCTGCCAACCCCCGCTGGGGCCAGGGACTTTAGTCTCTGCGGACACAGTCCACTATTAAGTGTGGCTGAGGCCTGAGGTCGGTCCCAGGCCCCGGAAGTGTGGACGTCTACACCCTGGGCTGCCTGGCTTCGGGGGCTCCAGGGGGCTCCGGGGGCTCCGGGGGCTCCGGGGGGCTTTGCCTCTCCTGGCACCACAGCACAGCCAGCCTTGGATCCCTTGGCTCTGTCCTGAGCTGGCTGAGCATGTGGCCCCCATCCACGGGGGTGCAACGTGGGGCTCTGCCCTAGGGATGGGGACCCTGGGCTGTGGCCTCTGTACCAGGAGGTGCCACCAAGAGTCACCCCAGGGGTGCAAGTCAGCCTGATAGGAAGTGGCCTGGAGGCGGATGTCTGGGAAGGTGGGGGCAGCAAACCAGTGAGGAGGCAGGGGGCGGGTCTCCTCAGGGCCCAAGCTCATGGGCCCTCAGCAGAGTGTCTGCTGCCCTGGCTCTTCCCAGCCCGGCGCCGTGGTCTCCTCCAGCCTGTGCGAAACCTGCAGGTGTGAGCTGCCTGGCGGCCCCCTGTCGGACACGTTTGTGGTCAGTTGTGAGACCCAGATCTGCAACTCACACTGCCCTGTGGTGAGTGCCCCTGCCCTGCCCCTACCCCCTCCCGGCCCCTGGAGGGCAGTGGTCCTCTGGACTCCGGCCACATGCCCATCCCTCCCACAGGGCTTTGAGTACCAGGAGCAGAGCGGGCAGTGCTGTGGCACTTGTGTGCAGGTCGCCTGTGTCACCAACACCAGCGGGAGCTCCACCCACCTCTTCTACGTGAGTAGCGGCTGTCACAAAGAAGAAGGGCAGGGTCTGGGAGTACTGAGGCATTTGGAGACCTGTCGTTACCCCCTGGAGCCAGGCATGCGTCTGGCAGAGGCTGGGGACCCTCTGGAAGCCCACAGGCTGGGGTGCAGATAGACGGACAGATGGAGGGAGGGTCACTCACCCCGGGGCCTGGCCTCCCTCCAGCCCGGCGAGACCTGGTCAGACCCCGGGAACCACTGTGTCACCTATGAGTGTGAGAAGCACTTGGACGGGCTCGTGGTGGTCACCACGAAGAAGGCGTGCCCCCCGCTCAGCTGTTCTCTGGTGAGGTCCAGGACCCCTGCCCCAGCCAAGGGGGCTTCAGCCCCAGATGGGTTTGGGGGGCTGTGATCATCGCTGCAGCGCCAGCAGACACTCTCTCCTGCTTGGGGCTGTCCACTCCTGAGCCTGGCCCCATGTCCCCGTCCCCCACTTCTGCGGGGGCCGCCGAGCGCCTCAACACTGAGGGCACCCCTCTGTTGGCACAGGACGAGGCCCGCATGAGCAAGGACGGCTGCTGTCGCTTCTGCCCGCCACCCCCGCTCCCACCCCAGTACCAGAACCGTAAGTGCCGAGCCTGCTGGGCAGGGTGGGCTCCACCCTCAGAAGTCCAGGAGCAGCTGGGCTGGTCCTAAACCCTGTGTTCCTCCCCAGAGTCGACCTGTGCTGTGTACCATAGGAGCCAGATCATCCAGCAGCAGGGCTGCAACTCCTCGGAGCCCGTGCGCCTGGCTTACTGCCGGGGGAACTGTGGGGACAGCTCTTCCATGTACGTGCCTGGGCAGTGGGCAGGGAGACGCAATTGACTGTGGGGTGCAGTCGAAGCCCCCGGGGCTCTGGGTGCCAGAGAGATGAGGGGCAGGACCATGAGGGGCCAGGGAAAGGGCTCTGAGGGTGAGGTGGGAAAAGGGTCCTGAGATGGCGAGGGTGGGGCTGGGGCGACCACAGTCCCAGAGCCTGTGTCGGCATCATGCGCCTCTGTTTACTGAGCTCCGTCGGTAACTTGCTGCAGCTGCCCCGAGTCTCCCTCCCTCCCATCAGCACGGAGCTGGAGTCGGCCCTGGTGGGACTGTTGGCGCCTGGGGAACTGGCAAATGAGAGCTGGTTGTCAGACACTGGCAGCACGCCTCCAGGAGTAGGGAACACGATGGGGCCGCCTGGAGCTCCGCACGGTGCCAGCTTGCAGCACGAGGCTGGGATGGTCCCGGCACAGCAGCTGGTGGGACCGCCCGGAGCTCCGCACGGTGCCAGCTTGCAGCACGAGGCTGGGATGGTCCCGGCACAGCAGCTGGTGGGACCGCCCGGAGCTCCGCACGGTGCCAGCTTCAGCAGGAGGTGCTGAGCAGTCCCTGCCCACAGGTACTCGTTCGAGGGCAACATGGTGGAGCACAGGTGCCAGTGCTGCCAGGAGCTGCGGACCTCGCTGAGGAATGTGACCCTGCACTGCGCCGACGGCTCCAGCCGGACCTTCAGCTTCACCGAGGTGGAACAGTGCGGCTGCAGGGGCCAGCGGTGCCCCACGCCGGGCGACACCCAGCACTCGGAGGAGATGGGACCCGAGCAGAGCCAGGAGGCGGGGAGTGGGAGCTGGGAGAGAGGCACCCTGGTGTCCCCCGTCCACTGACCAGCACCGCCGCCCTCCTGACCCCCAAGGAGAACCTCCCATATGTCCTCCGAGTTCGGCTTCCAAGGCCAGTGGAACTTGTGCCCTCATCCAGGCGGCTGCAGCTTTGAACACACTGTCCACGCCCGTTTTCTTGTGGAGGGAGTGGGCTGTGGGTCACCCACTGCCTGGAAGAGGGTCCCTTACCCGCCCCGCCTGCAGCCACCTCTCTGGACCAGCCCAGGGCCGGTGGGGCTCCTCTGGCCATGCGTCCGGTCTGCTGTTCTCGGGACTTGAGTATCACCTGAGGGTCTCAGCAATGATGCTTGGATGTGGTGATAGGCTGCCCAGTGGCTGCAGGAGGAAAAGCCTCACTCCTACCTCAGCCCTCAGCCTGCACTCCCCTCCTCAGGACATGGCCAATCTGTTGCATAAATACACTTGAGCATTTTGCAATTTGTGGACTGTACATTTTTTGAGCTTGTTCATAAAACCCAGGAATAGGGTGGGGACAGATCTGGGCTCCAGGGGGTGCACACCTCAGGCCAACCACCCAGCACTGGGCAGCCCTGCTGCCTCTGTGGGCTGGGTGGGACAGTGTCCATCTGCTCAGAGAGGAGAGGCCAGAGCTTGGATCTGCCCCAAGAAGAGACCACCACTCTGCAGAGGTCATTGAGGGCTTGGCTGCAGTCTAGAGTCCAGGATGCATCTGTCAGAACACAGAGAGTGAGTGAATGAGAATGAGAGAATGAATGAGTGAATAAATGAGTGAATGAATAAGTGAGTGAATGAATAAGTGAATGTGTGAGTGAATGAGTGAGTGCATGTGAGTGAATGTGAGTGAGTGAATGTGAATGAATATGTGACTGAATGAGTGACTGAGTGAATGAGTGAATGAATGAATGAGTTAGTGAATGAGTGAGTGAATGAGTAAGTGAATGAGTGAGTGAATGCGTGAGCAAATCAGTGAGTGAATGAGTGAGTGAATGAGTGAGTGAATGAATAAGTGGATGAATGAATATGAGTGAATGTGAGTGAATGAATATGTGAATGAATGAGTGAGAGACTGAGTGAATAAGTGAATGAATGAATGAGTGAATGAGTGAGCAAATGAATGAGTGAATGAGTGAGCAAATGAGTGAATGAGTAAGTGAATAAGTGAGTGAATGAGTGAGTGAATGAGTAAGTGAATGAATGTGAGTGAATGTGAGTGAATATGTGAGTGAATGAGTGAGAGACTGAATGAATGAGTGAGCAAATGAGTGAATGAGTAAGTGAATGAGTGAGTGAGTAAATGCGTGAATGAGCAAATGAGTGAATGAGTAAGTGAATGAGTGAGTGAGTAAATGCGTGAATGAGCAAATGAGTGAATGAGTAAGTGAATGAGTGAGTGAGTAAATGCGTGAATGAGCAAATGAGTAAGCGAATGAGTGAATGAGCGAATGAGTAAGTCAATGAGTGAATGAGTGAGCGAATGAGTGAATAACTGAGTGAGTGAATGACTGAATGAGTGACTGAATGAGTGAACGAGCAAATGAGTGAATGAATGAGTGAATGAGTGAGTAAGCAAATGAGTGAGCAAATGAGTGAATGATGAGTGAATGAGTGAGCCAATGAGTGAATGAGTGAGTGAATGAGTGAATGAGTAAATGAGTGAGTGCATGAGTGAGTGAATAAGTAAATGAATGAGCGAATGAGTGAGTGAATGAGTGAGTGAGTGAATGAGTGAATGAATGAGTGAGCGAATGAGGGAGTGAGTGAATTAGTGAGTGAATAAGGGAATTAGTGAATGAATGAGTGAATGAGTTAATGAGTGAATGAATGAGTGTGTGAATGGGTGAGTGAATGAATGAGTGAATGAAGGAGTGAATGAGTGAGTGAATGAATGAGTGAGTGAATGAGGGAGTGAGTGAATTAGTGAGTGAATAAGGGAATTAGTGAGTGAATGAGTGAATGAGTGAATTAATGAGTGAACGAATGAGTGAATGAAGGACTGAATGAGTGAGTGAAAGGATGAGTGAAAGGGAGTGAGTGAATTAGTGAGTGAATAAGGGAATTAATGAGTGAATGAGTGAGTTAATGAGTGAATCAGTGAGTGAATGAATGAGTGAGTGAGTGAATGAGTGATGAATGAATGTGTAAGGGAGGGAGTCAGCAGGGAATGGGGCCAGCCCAGGCATCCAGGGCACCTCATGGCCCAGGCGAGGGCCTCTGACACGGGAAGGCTGCCCCTGCTGATGGAGGCATTCTGGGATGGGGGGTTCCATCTCTGCGCAGTTCCTAGACGTGCCATCACTGGGGCTGAGCTTGGGGTGTGCACACTCCTGAGTGTATCTGCAGGCAAGCGGGAGGTCAGCAACCCTACAGAGGGTGCCGGACGCTCTGCAGAGGGTGGGCTGGGCCCTGGAAGCTTGTCTTTCTCTTAGTTCTTTCTGACCACCGCCACCCCTCCCCGGAGCCTCCATGTTCCTGATGCTCAGCAGTCTCTCTTTGGAGGGCTCCAGGGAGCCCGTAGATCCCCCAGGACACTGACTGGGCCCTGCCTCGGCCACACAGCCGCGCCAGGAGAGTGGGCAGCACTGGCTCCACATCCCAGGAGAGGGCAGAGGGGTCTGAAGAGCCCAGGCTGAGCCTAGCGGGGGTGGGGAGCCCACTGCCTAGACAGGGCCAGCACAGGGCGGCGGAAAGAAAGGGAGGGCTGTGGTCAGCCCTGGCTAGGCCTGTGGCCCACACAGGAAGGCCCAGGAACGTCTGGAGCCCTCCACGCCTGACAGTGGGACAGGTAGGTGGGAAGCTGCGCCCAGAGTGGAGGCGGTGACTTTCTGGGGCTCAGGGTCCTCCCTGGGCCTCCCATGGCTTCAGGTGGCCTCAGGGTCCCTCTGGGCCAGAGAGGGCCTCAGGGACTTGTGCACCCTGGGCGTGGTGTGGAGTGGCTGAGGGGCTGGCAGGGGAGTTCACCATCAGCAAGGTGGACGTAGGGGCCCGGCCTCGCGTCCGTGTCTGGGTAGGTGCTTTTCCCAGCCTTCTTGGGCTTCGGCCGCGCCCATTGCTCCAACCTGTCCCTGCCTCGGTTTCAGGCTCCAGGCCCGGCAGCGGGGTGGGGTCTGGGGAACCCACCGACCTTCCATTCTCAGGCGTGCAGTCGCGCTCCCTGCAGTCGCCACGAGGTGGCAGCACAGTCGGCCCCGGCACCTGCCCGCTCAGGCCCAGGCTCCAGGCACCGCAGAGCCAGGGGGTCCCGGGACTCGGCCCACATCCCTCAAGGCTGGCCCATGGCCCTGGGAGGCTGAGGACACCCCTCATGGCTTACAGGCACATGGCGGCCTGAAGGGCTTGGGCTGGGCCAGAGGGCCGCGGCCCCTCCCACCACTTTGTGCCTGGCCCTGTGAGGAAGCCGGCTCGGTCCCAGAGTCCCTCCTGCCCGTGGGCCATGTCTGCAGGTACTGGGAGGTCGGAGGGCAAGGCCGGCCCAGTCCCTGCACCAGGATTTTTGACCCAATGGCAGGCAGTGAGGCCTCCGTGGCTCCAGCCTCGGCTCACATCTGGGGGTTACTCTGACAGGTCTCGGGGCTGGGGTGCCCAGGACCCCCCAGGTCCAGTTCCCCAGCTACCCACCTGCCCTGGCCCAGTGTGTGCTCCCAGACAGCTGGGCAGTGGGGCTGCCTCCAAGCCTGACTCCTGGGGTGAGCAGGTGCAGTAGAGGGGGCTCCCCAGCCTCGACCCGTATCCCCTTGGCGGCCAGGCAGGAAGCACAGCCCAGGAGCTCCCGCTCCAAGAACCATCGGATCCAGCGCTCAGCTGACCCCCTGACCTCACAGCTGCAGGGCACCCTAACCAGCACCACTGTGCCCAGGGTGGATCAGGTATCCTAGAAAGCTGCCAATTCCTCTCAGGGTGGGGTGGGCACTGCTGACTAATCCTCCACCTCCTGGGGTTAGCTTGGCCCCACGGCCTCCCGCCCGGCCCTCCCTGCCTGGAACACGACAGAGTGGCCGGAGGTAACCGGATAGCAGGTTCCTGGGAGAGAGCAGTCGCCTCCCTGCCGCACCCCCCGCCCCGGTCGCCACAGCCCCTGGCCCTGGTTATGCAAGTCACCATTCCGGAAAGAGCCACAGAGCTGGGCGTGGCCCCCAACACCTTGGTAGCTGCCAGCCTGCCCTTGTTCCCCACTCCTGGACGTGAGCGGGAAGAGGCCAGGGCTGGCCTGGGTGGCCCCTGCCCCGCCCCCCATGCTCCCATGCCAGGAGGCCACCTGGAGTATGGCCTTAGCGGAGGCATCATGTCGAGGCTGGATGCTCATGACTCTGGGCCCCCCTCCAGGAGCCAAAACTTCCCCCAGGCTGATGGAGAAGTGGTGTCCCGCCATGTGTCCAGGGGTCCATATCCGGGCCCATACTGGGGCCGGCTTCTGCCCAGATGAGGGGACCTGGGAGGCTCCCGGCCATGGGGAGCAAGATGGACAGAGAGGCAGGGCTCAGGGGCCCGTGACCACGGAGGGTAGGCCGTGCTCTCAGCCCCCTCCCAGCTCTCCCCAGCATGGCGGCACCCAGGGCTCCTGGGGAGCCGGATACCCGTGGTCGGCCATGTCCTGGGGCATTCCAGGCAGCAGCTCTGAGCTCCTGGACAGCAGGGTGGGTCCCTGCGGTCGGCCACGTCCTGGGGCATCCCAGGCAGCAGCTCTGAGCTCCGGGCAGCAGGGTGGGTCCCTGCGGTCGGCCACGTCCTGGGGCATCCCAGGCAGCAGCTCTGAGCTCCGGGCAGCAGGGTGACTTCTTGGAGCAACCAGAGATCCAGGGCACCTGCCTGGCCCAGGCACAGAGAGATGGACGCTGCAGTGTCAGGGATGCCAGCTGAAGCCCTGGGAACAGAGAGACCTGAGGATGATTTTAAGGAGGCTGGGGCCAGCGTGGAGAAGCAGGGCAGCTGCCCCGGGGCTGGCCACGCACCTGGGCACAGCTCCTGCTGGACGCTGGACACGCATCCTGCCCCCAGGTGTGCCTGAGTTCAGGACGGGCACCGACTGTGTGCCTGAATGTCCCTAGGCAGGACCTGGAACGTGTCTGACCCAGGGGCAGCCTTGTGGGGGACAAAAGACTGCAGAAGAGATAACCCCCTATGTAGAGAATCCAATTGAACCAACAGAGGAGCCGCGGGCGCCGACGGGACAGCCCCACAGAGCCCTGGCTAGAGTGGCCCGAAGTCAGCGCCGCTCTTCCACACGCTGGACCACCACCGGAAAACGACCGCGTCTCCGGCTGTGTTGAAGCTGCGCGGTGAATACCCACGTCTCCAGCAGCGGGCTGGAGGGATGCAGAGGAGGACTCAGAGAGGGAAGGGGCGTTGCACACACAGGCGTGGCTCCCCCAGGCTGACGGCAGCTGGTGAGAGCTTTAGAGGAAGTTGGCAAACTCATTGTAGAATCTACCCAGTGTGAAAAAGGTCCTCAAATATCCAGG